TTTTCAGCAACACCATTAGTTTCAGGTTTATAAGAGACAGACTAGATTTGTGTGACACCGCGTGATTCTAACAAATCTTGAACATCAAAGTTCTTAAAATGTTTTCCATGATCTATTCTTAATGATTCAATATCTGGAAATTGAATTAACAGTTCTGCCAATCTTGTAGAAAAAGTCTTCCCCGTTGCAACTCTCAGGGGATAAACTCTCTTAGCACTTGAGCCATTGTCTGCACAAATAAGGAAGTACTTATTTCTTAAAATAGTTCTAGTTGACAGGGGCCCCGCCACATCAGCACTGAAGTGTCTATCGGGTGTGTGTGATAATGTGACGCGGGTGAGTTTCCGTCTTTCGAATCCTCCTGAACGCGCACACTCGAGACAACTTTTCCTAAAGTGTATCACTGTCTCCCTTGCCTCAGGTATATCAATCCTTTGGCTTTTCATACACATGGCCACTCTATCTGCCCCTACATGAGCGAAGTCTTGTGTATTTCCTAATACGTTAAGGTGGTCGGGCGGTGGAACTCTCACTCTCTCTCCTTCCTTCCATTCCCCAGGTATAATAAGACGCAAAGACCCCAGGCTAGCTGGCCGCTCCCTTGCTAACTTATCAACCTCCCTGTTTCCTCTATCGGGTTTCCTAACCCTCACTTTCTCTCTAAGAAAACCTTGTTCCTTATCTCTTAGCTTGTATCCCTTTTTCAGGAGCTGAGTATATAAGTGGGTTTAAACAACACAAAGCTAAATGGCTTAACAGCATTAGCATAAGTAGTCAAAAATGTATAGTAACATGATGTTTAAAATAAATCTAGATACTCTGCACTTTTAACGGCACAATGTCGGAAGGTCAGGTCCACAGCAGTTCTGGGGCCTTCTCTCATCTGTGGCCCGTCTGGTCAGCTGCTGTAAAAGATTAGTTTGGTGGCACAGAAGTCCTAGACTTCTTAGCCGGAGGAGGACAGGTAGACCCTTCCCCAAGCTCCCTAGGACTAATGTCACAATAATCTTCTAAATGTTCTGTAACATACCAGCGAGGTGGTTCCCTGTTATCCCCGCGGAGTCTCAGTGAGAGACCCGTCCAAGATGCTGGCAACAAATGATCAGATAAATCTTCTCTCTGATATAAGCGTCCATCACCAACCAACCACTCAACAGAACGTCTATAAAGGGACTGAAACATTGCAATAGTAAATATCACACATTTTCTTAAAGATATTGTTACATCTACTTGGTTTTAAATTCATTTCTACCAACCAGGAGTTGGATAAACACCAGATACTACAAAAGGAGTTGGTCACAATCTCCAAAGTGAGCAAACCTATTCTAATGACTTTTAGCAGTTAAAAACCTTCTAACATTATTCTACTTATTGAACTGCTCCCTGATAGGAAGAAACTAATAACACAACTGAACTCTCCTTTCTGCTACAAATGGATAAATCAATAAACAACTCAGCGTTGGCCGATTGATAAGGCCATTTTGCCAGTTTCTAATAAGTAAAATGGGGATAGCTAAGATCAAAGTCACAAATCCCCCATTCTTTAACGACTTTGGGGTAATCAAAACTAAATAAAAAAATAGTCCAAATAATTCCAATCAGGATCTCTTGTATTGACTGGGATGAAGCATTCTCAGAGGTAAAGCTCTGTCTCTCCATTACATACTGTCACTGTCTCAGGTCCAGAGAGTAGTGAGAGTGGCGGGGGTGCTGATCTCTATCTCGGAGCTGCATGTCAAACCACATCAACATCCGGTGCTTAGCCTGCAGCAAGGAGGAGAGGCAAAAGAGGAGAAATCTCCCTCTCAGCAGTTTTGAACATTTTCTTTATAATTGTTTTCTTAAGCAGCTTTTATGGATAAAGGTTTTTAGCAAAGTTGGGAGAGGAGGAATCATGTTGATCTACCGAAGCCAACCTCTCCATTTCCCCCTGAACAACAGGATGCTCCCTCCCTAAATGTCTTCCTTTGTTTAACTCCCTTGTTTTGTTAACCCATGACCCAAAAAGAAACATGTACATTTTAAGATTAGCCTTAGCAGTTTAAGGGCCAGCCAAATCATCTTAAAGGTGAATTTGATCAGGAACTAAAATAATGCTGTGATGTACAGTAGTGCTTGTTGAAGCAGTCCAAATCTGAACAAAACACCTAAAACTATCGCCACAGCTAGAATAATAAGAAAAGCCAAAAGTCCCCACTTAGCTTTATTGAAAGCAAAGAACATTTTTAGCCGTAAATCATTCACAAATGTCTTCTTCATTTGACCAAAAACAGAATGCATTGGATCCTATATTGAACTAGCAGACAAAACTGCTCTGAACAGAAAAAGTCCCAGATGGGACTCGCAGGTCCTTCATTTCTCCCCATCTCACGTGCAATGACAGCTAGATATGCTGCCTTATCCTGAGGTGGCCAAGTGCCAACTCTCAGCCTCGGCTGATGCTCCAAAGAGCAGTCTCTGCACAGTAACACTTTGCCTCCCTCTCTTTCCGAGACCAGGCAATCCAGTGGAGGATTCAAAGTCGGCCCATTAGGGAGCCGTGCCATCTTACCATGGCAGTAACAACTCTACCAATTACACATTCACCGGGAACATAAGGTCCCCACTCCAAAGGCTCCAGTCTCTCTTCACGAAGGTATCCTTGCTTGGCCATATTGGCACCCAGTAGGGCTTTCCCCACTAGATGAGATCACAAACCCCGTCCCTGGACTAGGGATACCAGCCCCCCCAATGTATTCGCTAGTGCAGTCTGTGGCAGGGCCATTATTTGTCTTTCTTATCTGTGTGCAGTGTACTTAGGCAAAATGTGTCAAGCTCAACAGTATTCTTTTTATTTACCTGCACAAACAACAAAATCAGAAAAAAGGCTTTTGTGTTCCTTTTTTCAGTTTTTGTTGAAAATCTTTATGGGATTTTTGGGGGATTTAGTTTCTTGTGTTAAAAGAGAAACACACACGTACACGGACCCATATTGCACATGTTCACCAAAGGGTTCAAATGACAGAGCCACACATAAACATGCTACTAATCTCTACGCTTAGCTTTCTGATTGAAATGTTTTTTAGCTCTACTTAATCATATGTTTCATGTTTCAGGTCCTATTAGTTTATAGATGTGGGGGAGATGTTATACTTGATTCAAAGAAGTGATACCACAGTGTAGAAATACTGTAACAAGAACAAGTCTGGTATTGAAATGTACTTAGGTCAAAGTATTAGGATCAAATAATGCCTAAAGTACCATCATTAATATGACTCATAGTACGACTATTTTCATAATGATATATTATAGTCTGGATTCTAATCAATGATCCATTCATGTGAACATCATTTTGAATTTAGCAGCTGGTAAAGGTGGAGATAACTTGAATGACTTGTTATACTTCCAGGCAGGGACGTGCACAGACATTTGGAGGGGCTATTGCTCTAAACTGGAAAAAGGGCCTCCCCCCGAAAAAAAACACAAGACCTTTTGAAAATTGTAACTTGTTTTTAATGTAAAAGAAACCAAACGATTATTACATCAACTAAATTGAACAGTAATTCACATCTCATAAGAAAATAAGCTAAGGCGACTATACTTGCATTCGGTGACTTGATTTTAAAAATGAAAACCAGGGACATTTTTAGTTTTGCGGTCCATATCTCATTAAAATATCTAATGTTACTAACTATTAAAGAAAGAATGGGGACAATTCAATGTAGTATTCCATAACTTAATAACAGAGATGGTCAAACTAAAGTGGTACATGGCAGAAATCCTACAATGCAGCGGGACAGTGAACTGTTCACCCGTGAGAGGGCGATCAAGAAAAGAGAGCGAGCGGCGCGTTGAGGGAGTTTACAGATGAGAAGACACAGAAAGACAGAAGCACAATAACAACAAGTAGGCTATATTTAGGTGTTTTTTTGTAAATAACCCACGGTATCAAGAGGAAGTAAAGTCCCCTGGTTTGTCCCCCTGGACCCCCCTAGAGGAGGTTAGGTCCCCCCCCACTTCAATCATGTTCACATGGAGAGGAAACTAAACACATTTGCACACATCTTGTGTCCATATCTTTCTGTTGTGGTGGTCCTGCCACACCGTGCACGTGCATGCATGCCACACCGTGCACGTGCGTGCATGCATGCCACACCGTGCACGTGCATGCCACACCGTGCACGTGCATGCATGCGTGAGTCATGGTGAGATATCTGGATTAAGAGGTTGCTTTTTCTTTGCACAGCATGAAAGAAAGGCCAAATGAAAGGGCTGTGATTTGAGTCTTTTGAAGCAGAGGTCAATCATTTGTACGGCCCTCGGAGGATGTTGAAAACATGTAAATGGCCCTTGAGAGGAAAAAGGTTCCCCACCCCTGCTCTACACAGACAGTTCTAACTCGTTGCTTTAAATGACTCACAGTTTGAAGTGTTGCTTGGCCTCCGATGGTTAGATGATGTTGCGATGTGTTTGCTCAAAATAAAATAACAAACTTTTGCACATGCAACAAAGAAAATAGGCCTTTACAATATTCAAAAGAAATAGGCCAAACTCAAATAAAATAACAAACAACTTAGGTATTCTTTCTTTCTTGATAATGCTTATAACTTCATAACTTAAAGGGTACTTGTACCATTTGTATGTACGTGTACGTGTACGCTTAACAACTGTTCCTCGACGGCGTCTCTCAACAGGTTGCCCATCACTGTGGCTTTAGCACAGGCGCCGTGGGAAATGTAGTCCTTTATAGTGCGTTGACTACAGACGTCACAATTAGGCCTTTCTTATAAAAGCAAAATACTGGCTCTAACAAGTATTATAAAACGATATACTCCAGTAAAGTCATTCAAACCTGTACTTACAGTACTTGAGTATATGTACTTTATTACTTCCCACCACTGGTTTATAGAGAGCTGGAGTTAATGATCTCATTATCACTCGGAAGTATTAATAGTATAAATGATTCATTATTAAAATATGCTAATATCAATGAAGGACACGACTCTCTTGTTTCTCTTCAGAGCCTGGTGTTAGGCTGGTGGGAGGAGAGAGTCGGAACATGGAGGTGGAACATGAGGGAGAATGGAGACCAGGGGGCTATGACTCTCCCTGGACCCTGAAGGCAGCAGGAGTCTTCTGCAGAGAGCTCGACTGTGGCTCTGCTGTTTCTGTGAGACGGAGAAAGGAGTCCTCAAAGAGACCTGTGTGGTTGATCGGCTCTGACTGTGTTCAGTCTGGATCTGCTCTGAGGGAGTGTGCAGCATCAACTTCCTCTCTCTCCTTCCTGACTCGCACCTACCTGACTCTCACCTCCCTGAATCTCACCTGCTCAGGTAAGCTTTAGAGAGGACTTGAGTCACATCACACACTATATTTACACCTGAACAGGGACTTGAACCCTGGACCCTCAGATTAAAAGTCTGATGCTCTACCGACTGAGCTATCCAGGCTCTGGATACCTGACTCTCACCTGCTCAGGTAAGCCCATCAGTGACATTGTTTATGACATCATGTCCTCTGTCTCTTTGTTAGTCAGTCTCTCTCTCTCTGACAAAGAGACAATCCCTCTCTGCTACCTGGACTGTCACAGACTGAAAGCTCTTTGTAATGTCTTCAAAGCGGTGTCTTCAGACTGAGAGGAGGTTTTCACAGAGACTGTTTTTATTGCTGCTGCTGGGGCAGCTCTCTCTCTCTCTCTCTCTTCTCCTCTTCTCTCTCTCTCCTTTCTCTCTCACTCTTCTCTCTCCTCTCTCTCTCTCTCTCTCTCTCTCTCTCTCTCTCTCTCTCTCTCTCTCTCTCTCTCTCTCTCTCATCTCTCTCTCTCTCTCTCTCTCTCTCTCTCTCTCTCTCTCTCTCTCTCTCTCTCTCCCTCCCCATCTATTTCTCTCTCTCTCTCTATAAATTCAATTCAATTCAAAGGAGCTTTATTGGAACGAAACAATGCTGCCAAAGCATCAAAACACAAAATAATTAACAACATTAACATACATTTCAAAAGTTTACATATATATATATATATATATATATATACAGTGATACAATTACACTTCAACACGTGTGTGTGTGTGGGTGTTACAAAGTTGACTAAATCATCCAAAATGCAATGAAAGTGGTGATCAGCCATTTTGCATTCTAGGGTATCATGAGTACTTTCTGCTGTTTTATACTATATGTTAGTTTGTTTGTCTGAACACCTTGTTTCTCTTGTGCATTAAGAACACTTGTGTTAGGCCATGATGCAGACATCTGATTGGCTACAGAAACTCCCATCTTGAAAAAATGCATTTGTGAATATAGCGGCCTCAGTGTGTCTCAGAAATCCACTCACAAAAGTGTTTTTTATAGAAATGTAACAACATCAAATATGTTATTGATGCACAACATTTAACACTTTTAAAGTAATATATTTGTGGATTTATATTGCATTTATTTAAAACAGTAAAAAAAGTATTTGTGTTTGCATTGAAACATATTTGTGTGGATGGAGACATGTGTGTCTGCTGCCTCAGGAGTCCCCTGGGACAACCAGTCTGAAAGGACTCCTGCTTCAGCTCCACCTCTCTCTGAGCCTCTGGTTTCCAGCAGCAGGTTCTTTGGGTTCCACCATAACAGCACCAAGACCTCCTGGACACAGCTTTGATCAGCTCAGCCGGAGCTCCTCGAGGCGTCCTTCACCCAGAGAAGCTCCTTCAGAGCAGAGTCCGGATCCTTTGGCTTTCATCTTTTAGAATTCATTTTCTAATGGGATTTTTGTTCTAGGATCAGATTCTATTAGATAGGTGAGAAATAATAAAACCTTTCTTTAAAACATGATGTTGAGTCCCTGAAAGGGACGTGCACAGGTACGGGCTAATGTTGCCCGGGCAACGGCCCGTTTCCCCTTTTTGGCTGACCTGCCCCTCTGGAGAGAGCGAGAGGTTTTTCTTTTCTTTCTGTTGTGATCGAATCAACATGATAAGCCCACAATTAGTATTGTAGTGTCTCGCTGCGGGAAACACACCAGCTTCATTCTTCTTCTACTACTTCTTCTTCTTCTTCTTCTTCTTCTTCTTCTTCTTCTCCTTCTTCTTACATGTAATTGTCCGCGAAATGTTGAATGTTCATCATCAACTCATGTTGGAACTGAGTCCAGTTTGAATCTCTGAAATATTGTTTCATCTCTTTGATGGTGTGTCTTTGACCTCTGTTTGATCTTCTGTCCTCTGCAGACTCTGTCAGGCTGCTGGGGGGGACTGGTCTGTGCTCAGGCAGACTGGAGGTGAACTCTGACCAGTCTAACCAGTCTAACCCGTCCTGGTCCTCAGTGTGTGAGGCTGACTTTGACCAGCAGGATGCTCAGGTGGTCTGCCGGCAGCTGGGCTGTGGGGCTCCTTCAGTCCTCCAGGGGGCGCTCTATGGAGAAGGGGAGGCTCCAATGTGGACCAAAGAGTTCCAGTGTGGAGGCCATGAGTCTGCTCTCCTGGACTGTAGCTCAGCCTCAGAGAGAAACACCTGCTCACCTGGCACAGCTGTTAGCCTCACCTGCTCAGGTAGAGAGGAGCTGTGATTGGTTCATTCTGTTCTCATCAAACTCACTTTATTCTCTCTCTGATCACTCTCTTGTTTCTCTCCAGAGCCGGTCAGACTGGTGGGAGGAGAGAGTCGCTGTGCAGGAGACCTGGAGGTGGAACATCAGGGAGAATGGAGACCAGTGCACTATTACTCTCTCTGGAACCTGAAGGAAGCAGGAGTCGCCTGCAGAGAGCTCGACTGTGGCTCTGCTGTTTCTGTGGGACGGAGAGAGGAGTCCTCAGAGAGACCTGCGTGGTGGATCAGCTCTGACTGTGTTCAGTCTGGATCTGCTATGAGGGAGTGTGCAGCATCATCTTCCTCTCTCTCCTTCCTTAATCTCACCTGCTCAGGTAAGCCCATCAGGGACATTGTTTATGACATCATGTCCTCTGTCTCTTTGTTAGTCAGTCTCTCTCTCTCTGACAAAGAGACAATCCCTCTCTGCTACCTGGACTGTCACAGACTGAAAGCTCTTTGTAATGTCTTCAAAGTGGTGTCTTCAGACTGAGAGGAGGTTTTCACAGAGAC